TTTTTTTTTTTTTTTTTTTTTTTTTTTGTACTGGGGATTGAACTAGGATCCTTGCCCTTGCAAGGCAGGCCACCGACAATAATTTACTTTAATGGTTCAGTTAAATGAATAGAGAGAAAAAGAGATGAGGCAGGTATAGCCAAATTGGAACAATTGGTGACTCTGGTGTCATTTTTGGATTCTTTTGCATAATGTTCTGTGTAATTCAAAATACTCATAATAAAATCTTAAAGAAATATAGGCTTTTAGATGGGGGCTTCTGATTGAGTAGGCCCGGGGTGAGGCTCAGGGGAGCATTTCAGGGGAGCATGTGCCCCTGGGCACATGGGCCTAAGACCTGCCGCCCTGCTGCCCCAGGGGTTCTTACCTTCCTGCTCTACTTCCACCCCTCAACCTTGTCAAAACAGAGCAGTATGAAATGGTGATGTGTACCTTCTCCCACAACTGATGGTGGTGGGCTGTGGAACAGCCCCTCTTCCACCTCTGCTGCTCCCTCCTTAGCAAACTACGGTGAGTTGGCTATGGGAAGCTCCTGTTATCGGTCCTTTGCTTAACCATGTTGTCAGCGGGAGGCCGGACAGAAACTCCTATGAGCAGGTATGTTTTTTATTTTCTTAATGAATTGTTTTTTGGTTGGAATGGTAGTACACGCACATGGTGAAAATTTCAACATTATGCAAAGGACTGTTTCCTCTTACTCCTGGCCTCTGACCCCTCTCTTTCCTAAGGCAACCACCAGTAACTTTCTTATACATAGTTTCAGAAAATGTCTGTATAAACCTACCATATAATGTATATATTACTTTCCTCTTTTTACTTTCCCCTTTTTCTTTCTAGGGTTATAATTTTCACTGAGTAAAATATATGGGTCTTACTTCAGCTGCTTTGGACAGGTCAAGACAGAATAGTACCAGTAGCCCAGAGGGTCCCATCCTGCCCCACAACCACCACTCTGCTTCCTGTAAGCCCAGCTTTTACCCATACATGAACTTCATGTAGAAGGAATTATACAATATGTCCACTTTATGTCTGGCTGCTTTCATTCCTTACGATTTTGAGATTCATCCATGTTGTTTGTGCAGCAGTAATTCACTCCACTTTCTTGTAAATAACACTTTTAGAGAGAAAATGGGAGAACTTGATATGTTCTTTTCTCTTACTACTATTGCACCAGCAGCACACTGTAAGTGTGCTCTGTGGTGTGGACAACATGGTAATTTATTTTATTAGTGCTCGATTGATGGACACATGCAATAGTCTTTTATAATCAGTGACATTGGTGTTATATGAATGCAAAAACTTGGGAAGAGGAAGAGATCCTCTGGAGTGAACAGAATTTAGATGTTGGAAGTGAGTTTCAAAGTGGAAACAGCCCTTATATTATACATATGAGGCAGAGAGGGCCAGAGAAGTCCAGTGCCCAAGGTCATGTGAGTGATCTGGACAGAGCTGTGGAACAACCAAGGGGTCTTGATGTGTAAAATGTTGTTTTTCCAC